TCAAAGATTTCGCGCACATTTTGGACTTGATTTTTGGCCACAACTTTACTTTTATCATAATTTTTGCATTCATTACTTTGATTGACATCTTTTGCTAGTTTTAATTCCCAGTTTTGGATCATATTCTTAACGGGAAGATACGACCGATTATAACAATTATTAATTATGTGATCGCTTCTCTCGGATGGCTTGTACTGTACATCTTTGGTTACATTCTCTTTGAATCCGTCCATTTGGTCGCAAGTGTTTTGCAAATTAATTGATAAATCATTAAATCCATTAACATTTATCATATCATCAAATGGATTATCCAAGCATTCATTTTGTATAACATTGTTTGCCTCAAATATTCCCGATTTTACTGATTCACATTCCGTGATATCAAACAACTCTGTATTTCTATTTAATTGATTTAATAAAAATTTTTCATTTTTTCTAATATCCAACGATTGGTTAATTAAATTTTCAGAATAAATTTTCTTCGTTTCTGTTTCCAAATTAATATTATTATTAAAATTCTCATTAAACTTATTGTTGAAATTTATATCCCCTTTTCTGGAGTTCTGGAAGAGCTGTGATTTGCCATTAATAACAACCGTTTGTTTAATGACTTTTCTGGCGACAACTGTCGCGCACTCGTCAAAGGAGTCCGAGTCCTTCCGTCGGGTCAATGCGTTCACCGGATATTGTAATCCGGGAACAAATATTGTCGGCGACGACGAGCCGTTTATTTGATTTGTCGACTCTTTCATTGGTTCATTGAAACAGTCCTCCACTTTGACGGTATAAGGACTGTTGAGAATGTGCTGTCCCTGCCATACGATTGACAACTTGTGTATGCCTTTCATGAGTGGTATATAAGTGATCACTATTTTATTAGACAACACTTCGTAGAAAAATGGTATTTTCAGGATGTCTTCCGACGACTTCTTCCGGTGCAGAAAGTCTTCGATTAGAGATGTGGTGATGATATCGGATGAGAATTTTCTCTTTGTATTATAAATTGCAATTTTTTCGGAACACATGGTATTGTTTGGACCCATGATTTCAATCACTAAATTCAGTTTAGGAGTCGGTTTGCAGAATATATTGAAGCGGGCCTTACGGGTGCGGACGCCCAGAATGAGACCCATGCCTTTGGCAAAACACACCTTCTCGTCGCCAAACAACGACTCAAACATCAAATGACTGGCACCCGAAGAATCCTTCCTCTGTATTATGGATCTCTTAAGCAATGATCTCATCATAAGTTTCATGGATTCAAATTTAACTCTCGAGAGAAAGTATACAAATTTTGCCTCTTCTTTGCAGTCATGTATTTCGTGAGATTCTATCGTCTAATCCATGAATAAAATGTTAATTGATTATTGTTTTGTAATCAATAAATTTGTTTGTTTAATAACTCACGGTATTGATGTTGAGATGTTTCTTAATCAGTGATAGACCAAGATTTATATTATCCATAGCAGTGTCGGAGTTCAACAGATCATATCGGGGACAACTGCCCGGCACTATAGCCTCAATCAAAGCGCATAGAAGTATACCGTCCTTCCAGTCCTCTGTAAAATTTCTCACAAACAGTGAAGTCTTCACTTTAGATCTGATCCATTGTAACAGATTTTTTCGTTGATTTTTATTGTTGTTAATTCCTTGATTCAAAATATAAGTTATATATTTTAAACATTTGTTTAGATTAATCACAATTTATATTTAATACTCACTCGCCTTAACATTATGTATGAATAGTTTTACTAAATTAATAAAAATATGAATTTTAGTCGTTTTAATGAGTTTAGCGTAAAACCAGAAGAGATAGGCTTTTAATAGGCAATAAGTGGTGTCCAATAAATTGCCAAAATCTAATTCAGATTCAATTGTATGTCTAATGTTTTTGGCTTCAATAGTAGGCATTGTTATGCATTTCAATGGATAATACTTAGAACTAATTGCTATAAAAACCTAATCAATTGACTATTATTTTTATAGTTTACTTTTCAGATCAAATAATTATTAAGTACTAATTCAACAAATATCTGATAAAATAATATAAACGTTAAGTGTTTCGGAATCCATAGACAGTAATTGTTTTCAAAATATCTATTTAACAGTGATTTTCAATGCATTTCGTGTTATTTTTATTGTTATTATAGTATTTCTGTTGAGATAGTAATTAAAAATGGTTTAAGAACTCAAAAATATCATTTAATTCACTGAGTTTTATACCGTTTGATAGCTCTTATCAAACATTATCTCACAATACTTGCGTCAAATGATCGTCACATTCATAAACATTTGCTATTCAGTAGTAAATACACTGTTTTTATAAAGGCTTTCCATTATTTAGCACATGTTTAAATAAGTTGTCGATTAAATTATAATAAAATATTAACTAAATTAAGTAATTTAAGAATACTGTATATGCACTAATTTTTCATTTATAGAGGAATTCTTGCTTAAAATATAGTGAACAGTGTTTTTCTAAATATAATTGCAATTAATGTGAAGCAAAGTTTGGCAATTAATGCAATCATTTATAAATCAAGACATTATAATAGTACATAGTGTATTTTCATAAATTATTCGGTGACAAACATAGATGTCCGCAAACATTGCCATCCAGTCTAATATCCACATCACTGCAGATGTTTGAATACCCACAAGAAATTAGGAGTTAACACATCTCATAATGAATTAAATAAATATAACTAATCATTAAATTGATAAATAAATAAATGTATTATTTATAGATCACATAAAAACTAATTTTTACAACACTACTGATAAACTTTTTAAGAAAATTCATAAAACAATTAACTTCTGTATTTATATACCTTTCATATCTTATACCTCGTTGAAAGCCCAGTTCCCCTGCCCTGCCCTCCTCGCTAACCACATGTACCCCCTCTACCCCCTCCATCCCCTCTACCCCCTGATTACCCCCACAATTGATTGCGAGGTTTGATTCTAACGATGAGATGAGAGCCAAAAAAAGTTTGATTTGAATTAAAGTTTATGAAAGCATTGAATGTGAAACTCATTGATAGTGTGAGCCATAGATGGCTGTCATGTCATTGAATCACATGTTATTCAATGAAATCACATCTCATTTCACAACACAATTGAAATCGAGTTATCAATTGATTTAATCGTGTCTTTGATCCCAAAACCAAGACATGTCCGACGACCAGGACTTGGAGGCC